TAAAGGTTCAAAGCGAAAAGTCAAAAAATCTACTATCGCTATGCATTTAATTGATAAAAAATTGACCAATCATATTTTGTAGATCTATTTTCACCTGGGTGGCTTGGGAGTCCACCCGACAGGTTGCTTTTTTAACCCACCCGGGTTCTACCCGGGTGGGTCATAGGTCCACCCGCGGGTGACCTGGGTGGCATTTTTTTTGACGGGTCTAATTACTAACTTAATGCAAATCTATTTTTCAAAAAACATTGTCTGTGGGATTTGAACTTTAGACCTGCCACTTGGTGGGATTACAACTAGACCACTTCACTAGGCTGCTACATCCACTAAAGTACTTTTTATTAGTAATCAATTACATATATATTTATAATGAAGTTACAACTAGCTATATATATACCTTTTGGATACCTATTTAAATAGTCTACTTGCAGGTTCTACACTAGCTGCTATATTTATACTTTATCTAAAAAGTTGTCTATTTAACTCTTCTAGTTATAACTATATATAGATATCTTCTACTAACTCTAAGATTTTTATCTAGTTATTCTTAATAAATTTTGTATTCTGTCTTAGAACTTCTGTAACTTATTAAAGGTTTGCATTGCCTAATTACTGGTTTGTATTTCTTTGTTAAGCAAATGCATAGCTATTCTCAAGATAAATCTACCAAAGTCTTCTATATTTCATATCTAGCCAATCTAGTTATCACAGTTGCTAAAACTTCTACTCGCAATTTGGTATAATTTAATTAAACTGCTATGCTAGTATTACAAGTCAGCTAAGGTAGCTATAGCTAAGGCAGCTTAACCAGCTAAGCTAGCTAATATAATACTATATAATTAGCTAGCTAATATGGCTTAAAGTTATATAACTTTAAGTATAATTTAGGCTAGAGTAATAATATTAAGCAGAATTAAATATTATATATTACTGACTATTGTATTCTAGATACTATTTAATAAACTATTAAAATTTTTTGAATAGTAGTACCTGCTCAGTACTAATTACAAGGAAAAGTACTATTTTTATACCTTTATATTATTTAATAAAAACTTCAAAACTATATACAGTCAGACCTCCCTAAGTGCATACTCTCTAAGTACATGGTATATAAAAAACCTCTTTAAGTGCATACTTCTTCTTGGTTTCAATTAATATAACAATTATAAATTTTAATCTCCCTAAGTGCACACTCTCTCTAAGTACACATTTTGCTTTTTTTTTACTATGATCCCAAGAGGGGTGCATTTAGAAAGGTGTAACTGTATATATACTTAGCTAGAATAATATCTGAGCCTTATTTAATTTTTTAAATTACAAATCTATAAATAATATTTAAGTTTTTTCATAAGAGTATTGTAACAAGAAGTATTATAGTTAGATATATGGTAATAGAAAGCAAGAATCTGAAAATTTCTAAAAAGAAAATAAATAAATATCAAAGATAAACAAGATTAAAAAAAGAAATTTAGTTTTAGCTATTAGCTAGTTACTAAGCTAAATTTTTTATTAGCTGGCTAAGCCAGCCAATAAAAATCTTATAGCTTGTAATACTCTGCTATGCTTTTGTAAAGTTTACTTTAACTCTAGTACTCATATTCGGGTTTTTCTTTTTCTGTTTTTGCCTTATTGGTTCTTCTCTTACTCTCAATTTGTGACCTGGAAGATTTGACTTTGGCTAGGTTTTAGATATTTTATGCTTTGTTTTTTCTTGATATATGATTTTATAGTATATGTTTTTTCCTCTAATTGGGTCTGGCTAGTTTCTAGAGATTACCTAGCTCTTGTTATTAAATAGAACCTAACTTCTAAATCTTAGTTATAGTGGATTGCTACCCCGGTTTCCCATACTAGCTAACTAAATTAGTATATTAGCTTTTACTTCAATAGGTAGTTGAGTTGGTAGATCTCCCTACTTAAGGATTTTGTTGTTATTTAGTTTTTCAATTTTGGCTATCACTTCCAAATTTAGTCTTCCTATAGCACTTTTGAAAGTATATATCTACTATCTCCTTACTTAGGTCAGGGTTGTCATTGGACATGCTTGGACAATTTTGGACAAAAAAACAAATTAAAATTACTCTAAATTTTATTAAGATAATCAATATTATTTCTTAAGTAAAATATAATCAGCACCTAAAAATATATATAATTATATATTTTTTAAACAAATTCAATAATTATTAAAGCTTAGAGATGCCTTGGACAATCTTGGACGTCCAAGCATTTGGAGGCTTGGACATAGTAACGTGACAATACTGGTTATAGTGATCTGTACTATAGGATCAAAGCCGATTCTCCCAAAATATTGTTTTTCTGAAAATTTCTTGCAAAAATTAGCTATTTGGCCTCTGTCAATCTATCGCAAGAGTTGGGATCAGTAAGTTCTTAAGTATCTAAAAGTAACTTTTTGTGCTGCTTCTTTTTACTTAAGCCAGGAGGCCTTGTTGTCTAGTGCCCTTGCTGTTATTCTGTAGAGTTTCCTTAGCTCAAAATTTGGTACGAGGATCTACAGAGGAGAGTTTATTCTTCCTGTAAAGGCAGGACTACTTAAAAAAAATAAATAAATAAATAATAATTTTTTACAATAGTGATAGCAATATGTAAAATATATAAATAATAATAATAATAATAATCTATATATTTGAATTTAACATTGAATCAAAGCTGAGTTACTTATTTTGAAATAAATTTAAACAGAGCTATATTACTTATTTTAGATGTAATCCATATTCGTAATATGGTTAAGATTAAAAGCTTTAAATAAATTTTTTATATTAAATATTTCACAAATAATATAAGAATTGCAATAAATAAATTTATTATCAATATAATTTTATTAAAAGCTAATCGTCAGAATTTATATAGCTTAGTTTTTCGAAAAGTGGGCTGAATAAACTGCTTAACTCCCACTTTGCTCTATAGTTAATTGCTAAATACATATAATTATTTAACAAATCACTACTTGTAATATAATCATCATTCTCACGTTTTACTTTTTTTTCTTCTAATATCGTAATTTTTTCATCAAGTAACATTTGTTTCTATTCTTGTAATTGACTTTTTCATACCATTATATCTAATATATTAGTTTTAGTATCTTTTTTGAAATTGTTTTCTTTATCTGATTTATCTTGATCATCTAATTCATTTTGTTTAGCTTGTTCAGGGTCAACACTTTGACATGCTAGATTATTAAAAGGTTTGTATAGTTTTTTTTGTTGAGTGAAGTTAATTGAAGCATGAATTTAGTATATAGATAACACTTTTTATTCTACAATTTAATTAATTTTGTAAAAAAAAAAAAAAAAAAAAAAATCAAAAACAATATTATAATTGAATATAGTAATTTACAGTAATACTTACTTGGAGACGATTTCATTGTTTAATATAAATAAATCCCACTGAGCTCCATAATTATTCTACAGATACTGCATTAACACAAATCCCAAATAAATATGCAGTTAAAGATCCTAATTCTTTAGTCAAGGGAGAAGCAAAATCCCAAAATTCTAACATATTTCTTTTAAATTGTTTATATATGAAGTAATTAAATAGGTATTTATATTTTCTATATTTTTCAAACTCAAGTAGAATACAGATTAATTGACACTTAAACCATGCTTTATAGTAATAAATAATAAATTGGGCAAGGTATGTAAAGTTTAAATTATCAGTATTAGTTTTGAACCAAGTATTATAGATACTTGAATTTAAAAAAAAAGCCAATAACAATAATGGTTGCTCCTATTGCTTCTATCTTTGTTCTAGCTGTAAGATTATATACTCTGCTAAATTTTTATCAGGATATTCTTCCCATATTTTTAATATTTCACCAAAATATTGTAGCACTTCATGAAGACAAGCAATATCTGATTGTAATTTATTAAGAACTTTACAATAAAAAAAAAGCAATGAGTGCAACAATTTTACTGAGTGCTAGAAATTATCATTGAGCAGAATTAATATTATATCTCATAAAAGGTAAAGTTTATCTATATTGGTTGAAGATTGATTTAATTTATTATTTAAATTTTGAGTTAAACTATCCAAGAGAGATTCATGTGTAGTAGCTAAATTCTTTAAAAAAAAAAAATAAAAAAATTATTATTGAATTAAGTTACTAACTAGAATCTTTATGTTATAAAAAATGATTTTATTATTTTTTTAACTTCAGAATTAAACTATTATATATAGATTAGTAACTACAGATCAAATTTCTTTATAATATTACAATTATAGTAGGTATAATTTTAAAAAAATATAATACTTACTTTTAAAGCCTGGTGAGATTTTATTAAACTTTTAAAGCAGTAGGCATAAGAATTCCAATAAGTATCTGCTAGGCAAACTAAGGTAATACATAGAGGTAAGTCAGTAAAAAAGGGATAAATTTTTTCTAAATAAAAGTTTTCTTGACTTTAAGCTTAAATATCTCGACAACTATTTTATTAAATTTAATAAATTTTTTTTTATTTTAATTTTATATAATTTTAAAATTAAAATAAAAAAATTTTTAGTAAATTTGATTAAATAGTTGTTGAAATATTTTAATTTAAAAGGGTGTGGCGACTTAGTGAAGTGGTGGAGTTGTTGCACCCCAGACAGCAGGTCTAGAGTTTAAATCCCATGGACAACAATTTTGAAAAAACTAGATTTGTATCGGTTAACATTAAGATTATCAGTTGGATCCAGATATCTGTAATCTTGGTTATACTATCTCGAATGGGAGCTTCGGTGCAATAAATCCAGGAAACCAGAATTACCAAAAACCCGTTTAGCAAGTCCCAAGTTGGGAGTAGCAGTGATCTTCGACGGTGCTACAGAAAGACTAAATTTGGAACTGGAAACTAAGACCAGAGAACTGAGCGACCAGGTCCTTAAGTGGAGGACACACCAGCCGAACTGCCGGGTCGCCAACCAGAGGAAAAGAACATGTGCTCTGGAAGCATGTACCAAGGGAAGGGAGACTGTAAGACACCTAAAGCCTGGGCAGACCGACCCTTCCAGGTTGTCAGCTGGAAATAAGAGAGGGACCGGTAAGGAATCTGGGAAAGAAAGAAGTTGGAACGTGGGTACTGGGTTGTTGTGAACCTTGCAAGGGCAGGAGTAAATAAGTGGGAACTAATTAGGAAGGTTGTGGCTTGAGATATGAATCAGGTTACGGCAGTATCCAAAACGATAGCTTAAGATACAGACCTGGTAGCGGCAGCACAACATGTACTAGTTGGGAAAAATTTACCAAACATGCAGGTAAGTACATGTGTAGGACATGTACCATTCTGTTAGGTTTACCACAAGGATAAATGCCCATGTGGCTAAAGTCTTAGGGTTCTTACATGGCATTGCTAATCTCATTAAAAGTGTCAGGGTAAGTGTGTTACAGAAATAGAGCCAGAGGATTTAAATGGGTATCCCCCATAGTTGGGTGCAGGTATGGCAGCTAGTGTAGAACCTAGGGCAGACTACTTAAATAGGCAACCAAAAGTTGCATGTATGGCTAGTCGTACTCTCG